TTACCATTTTAATATCATGTTACCTTATACATTTACTGAACAACAATTCAAAATGAAATAGTCATTTTTATTCCACTACATTTATTTGAAAGCTTTGTTTACTTGTTACTTTACAAATTAAGAATTTTCACACAAAACTTTAGAGCGTATGATGCACTGTTGCAAGTGATAAATTAAGTACTCAGATCTCTAAAAGTAAAAGTAGCAATACCAAAATGCAGACATACTTTGTTACAAGTCAAATTCCTGCATAAAAAATGAAATTTAAGCAAAAAATAAAAATATATATGTAAATAATGTGTTACTAAATTTTAATTACTGATGAATTAATGTGTACATTACTTTCATGTTGCAGCTTGTAAAGGTGGAGCTCATTTTAATTACTTATTTACTGTGGGTCGCTTAAACTATAATGATATTTATTAGTCAATTTGTATCTTGTAGTATAATCTAAATCTGTGAAATAACTAGAAACTAAAGTTATCAGATAAATAAAGTGGGGTAAAAAGTACAATATTTTCCTCTGAAATGTATTAGATTAGAAGTGTAAAGTAGCATTAAATTGAAATACTAAAGTGAAGTCGAAGTACTTCAATTCTATCTACGTACAGTACTTGAATTAATATACTTAGTTCCATTCCATCACTGACTGCTGTAGATTAAACCACCCAGTACTATTATTAGTTAACTGTTATAACACTGACATGAGCATTTTTTTCATTATGAGTACTTTAACTTTTAATGCTGTAAAATAGAGTGAGCTCATAATACTTTTCTCAAAGTGACATTTTCAATGCAGGACTCCAACTTATAACTGATCATTGTATCTAATATTGCACTATAGCTACTTTTACTTTTCTTCAGAAATTATTTTTTAAAGGCTCTAAATACTTTCACTCGTGCACTATTTGTGCATTATGTGTCTTTATACAATATTTATTATTTTAATTCAAATACAGCATCTGGTATAACAGTATTATTCTATATCCAAAGTATTTGTGTTATTATTCATGATTTTTGATTATNCGTATATTGTACTTGGTATTGCTGGTGGCCAAAAAACCCTGACTCCAGATAATATTGCTCCGTGTCCACTGAATGTAAGTAGGCAACCATTACCATCCACATTAACGTTAGCCATAGCCTTTTAAAGTTTAAAGTATCTGCAGTATGTTTATTGTGGAGCTCTTCTGCCTCCAAGAGGACAAAAAATATGAATACATCTGTAAGACATCCAATACATTTTGCAATGTTCAAAACAAGTTTTTTATTGTTGGGAAAATTACACTTTACCTTAAAATCATAGCAAAGCATGCTAAAAATGAATGGGATTACTAGCACATACCCAAATCACAGTCCTTTGCAGTTCTATATAACTTTATAGCCACTTTTAGTTTGCTGTTTTTGTTTTATGGTACATTTAATGTACAGCTTAGTCTCACTGTTTTCATTGACCATGTTTCCATTAGGGACAGGCAACAAGCTCAGACAAACCCAGTATAACTATCCAGCACAAACCAGCAGCATAACAAAGTTAGCAGCTAGCTAACGTTAGCTAAAGCGGCTAGCCGTTAGAAGGTAAAAGCTAAAAGCTATTTTTCTCAGGATTTTTTGGAGACCAAACCAGCGTGAGCCAGTATTGGACTTATATTTGCTAGTGGCCAGAAACTTGCCTCCAAAGATATGTTGGTGTTTCTCTTTATCTGCCGAAGTAGGTAGGTTGCTAACACATTAGCTTAGCCTTTTGAGGTGACGACGTATCAGGTGTGTGTGTGTGTGTGTGTGTGTGTGACAGTTAACGTTAGCTTGTTTTAGAGCTCTTTGTGGCGCTAATGGTACTATAAACTATTAGCTTAATGTCATAATAATTCAAAAAGTTTTGTAATGTTCAAAACTAAAGTTTCTTCCTGTTTCCCAGACGTTACTTTCTACCTTTAAAGTAAGGTAGGTTAAGTTTTGCTGTAACTGATAATTTCTGTGAAGAAGATGAACAGGAAGTGCTATTTTTGCCTCTATGGCAGGTATAGTCAGTAGATATACCTTATGCCAGAAAATGAAATGTGATCAGAGCACAATAATTTAATTTTCCATGCCAACAGTGTTGCAGCCAGGACCACCTTAACAGAGACCACGTCATGACCAAGACCAGAGTGTATCAAACCATAGACAAGACCAACACCAAGGCAGGGTGACACCAAGGTAAGACCAAGACCAGACCAGTGTGTATGACAAGACCAGTGTGAGTCTTCCACTGCATGACACATGATAAAAATAGATCATGCAAACCATAGGAACTCAGAAAACAAATAAAGATTCCTCTTCATTCACCTCTTTTATCACCATATACTGTATGTGCAGTGTTTCCCACAGAATTACTAATTAGTCTATGTGTGGCATGGTGAATAACCTCAGTCGATCTGATCACTTTTGCTGCGCCTGCCATTCTGCTGCTCTGTCCGTGCCCTCCGTCTGCAAAAAATAGCAAATAATATCAATGTTATATATTCCAACAGTGCACCCAATGAATGTTCCAGCTCTGAAAATAGAAAATCTAAATGTGGCTGCAGATGTTTTGATCGTGGTGGCAGATTTATCCTTTTACCACGTAGGTAAAGCAAGTTAAGATACTTTTTAACTCAGTTTGCCGCTCCAGGTTAAATCTTTGCAAGAAAAGAAATCTGAGTAGCTGCAGGACACGTCTTTAAACGTCATGTGGTACTCTCCCTCAGCTCTCCACCTGAAAAAATAACTAACTACATCCTGGTTCATGCACCCTGACCATTTACCTGTGGGCTCATTTCTCATTTCGTCATGGGTCCATTTATCCTTTGTAAACTTGCAACTCATTGTCTGTTTCACCAGTGTTTGCCAAGAGTAACCATCCCTCTTTGTTCATAATGCAGGACTTAATAGTTTACCCATTAAGTGTGCGCTTGGTGACCTGGATATGTATGTGTTAATATTTCTGTCAGGATTCCAGGAAATGTAAGGATTTAAAAGAATAAAAGAAGAGGATCAAGTTTCAAACTCTGCAGTGAGTCTTCCGCACTGTGTTTGTGCATCCATCCTGACATGCTCGAATCAAGATCTCGCTTTCACACACGCACTCACAATTTCCCACGGGAGTAAATATCAGAGGGATTGTTGTTATACCATCAAATAGATTTCCTTAACTGTAGATGAAACATGATAAACAGGATATGCTTTAAATTAAGCTGGTTTTCCTGCACTGTGAGATCATGTTCAAATGTCTGCTTAAGTATCAATTATTTTAATGTTTAATCTTATTTTTTCTCCCCATTTCTAGTTTCCTGGTATGTGTGCACGTCAATGAGTACATGGTGGGTGGTTTAGAGTGTGTGCGTGTGTATGGACTATATAAGCCATGCGGTAGGCTGTCTGTGTAGTTTCTCCTGGTTTCACCTGTGAGAGAGCATCCGGCAGCATGACCTCCCAGCGATGGATGCTGGCATTCTGCTTTTCACTGGCCTCAGGTACAATGCAGCTGTTAATTTAATTATGTGAATATGACTTAATTCTTCAAAGCAGAAAAGACGTTTACTCAGTAACTGCACTTAAATATAAATTTCAGGTATTTGTATTTTACCATTTTAATATCATGTTACCTTATACATTTACTGAACAACAATTCAAAATGAAATAGTCATTTTTATTCCACTACATTTATTTGAAAGCTTTGTTTACTTGTTACTTTACAAATTAAGAATTTTCACACAAAACTTTAGAGCGTATGATGCACTGTTGCAAGTGATAAATTAAGTACTCAGATCTCTAAAAGTAAAAGTAGCAATACCAAAATGCAGACATACTTTGTTACAAGTCAAATTCCTGCATAAAAAATGAAATTTAAGCAAAAAATAAAAATATATATGTAAATAATGTGTTACTAAATTTTAATTACTGATGAATTAATGTGTACATTACTTTCATGTTGCAGCTTGTAAAGGTGGAGCTCATTTTAATTACTTATTTACTGTGGGTCGCTTAAACTATAATGATATTTATTAGTCAATTTGTATCTTGTAGTATAATCTAAATCTGTGAAATAACTAGAAACTAAAGTTATCAGATAAATAAAGTGGGGTAAAAAGTACAATATTTTCCTCTGAAATGTATTAGATTAGAAGTGTAAAGTAGCATTAAATTGAAATACTAAAGTGAAGTCGAAGTACTTCAATTCTATCTACGTACAGTACTTGAATTAATATACTTAGTTCCATTCCATCACTGACTGCTGTAGATTAAACCACCCAGTACTATTATTAGTTAACTGTTATAACACTGACATGAGCATTTTTTTCATTATGAGTACTTTAACTTTTAATGCTGTAAAATAGAGTGAGCTCATAATACTTTTCTCAAAGTGACATTTTCAATGCAGGACTCCAACTTATAACTGATCATTGTATCTAATATTGCACTATAGCTACTTTTACTTTTCTTCAGAAATTATTTTTTAAAGGCTCTAAATACTTTCACTCGTGCACTATTTGTGCATTATGTGTCTTTATACAATATTTATTATTTTAATTCAAATACAGCATCTGGTATAACAGTATTATTCTATATCCAAAGTATTTGTGTTATTATTCATGATTTTTGATTATAATTAATGTTTACGTCCACCTTGACGCTGTATTTCTCTCCTAGTTCTAGGCACAGGAGAGTCAGTCACAACAACAGAAATTCAGAAATGTGAGTATAAGCCAGTCAGTGTTGGATCCTTGTCTGATCTGATCTAGTCTCTGATCTTTGCAAATGTTACATGGGACCAGTTATATTGTTTCAGCTTTTCTGAAACTTATTCTGTTTTATTGTTTCAATGTTTTGCTTCATTTCTCCGTATCATACAGATATATTGTTTTATTGTTTGGTTTGTCAATATTTTATGTTACTTGGTTCAATTTATTCTATTGTAGTTTATTCTTTGTATGTATTAGTTTGTTAATGGAGCAAGGCACAAACAATTTTCCCTGCAAGTTGTGCTGTGTGTGATTGTGTATGTGACAAATAAATACTTAATTTTACTTAAATCTTTATAGATGTGAAACAATAGTTGATGATGTGGCTTACTGATTTAAAATGGTACTCCTAGAAATCTTATTTCTGTGGGTGAAGAAGTTATATGTATCGAGTTCTGAACTGATTATTAAAGGGGTGTATAGCTGATTACATTTAAAAATCTTAACTTTTTAAACTCTCAATCTGACATAACAAAAATAATGAATTGATTTATTATATATTTTATTATATATTTACTGTATATTATATATATTTCAGTCAGGTGTTCATTTCCTGGCATTAATCAGTAAATTGTGATCAGACACTTGCAGGACATTTGGCAGCGGGGTCATCCAGCCCTTCAACGGTTCAAGTTTCTATGTTCGGTCCAACTGCCCGTTCACCCTCACCCGCTTCACACACAACCGGGTGGAATGTGATATCACCTTACGGCGAGGTGACAACGGGCTGCTGGACCAAGTCGAGATCATCATCAACAAAGTCAAGACTGTTGTGCAGAGTGGAAGCATCATGGTGGAGAAGAAAAGGTTTGGGCCCAACACTAATCCACACTGATACTGTTTTATTAACTGCAGCCATGTAGATACGGAATTAATTGAGGGATATGGCTCATTTACACTAATTGATTAAGTTTGATTTTATGCTTTGGTTGAGATATGGGGAGATTTTGCTGTCATTGAGTGTGGCAGATGATATCTTGATCAGTATGCGTATTCTAGGCCTACATTAAAAAGGATTTTAAGGATTTTCTAAGGAGAGAGACGTGTAGAAACATCTGTTTCTCAGCTACCCCAATCCAGATTTCAACAGAGAATCATTATAAAGCTCAGTTCAAAATGTGCTCTGCAAGTAAAACGTTCTTATGTGAGTGATTGGGTACATGTATCTGATCAGTAGGCGATTTGGGGGAGTGAACAAATGTATCCCTCTTATCACCACTGACAGGCCATGGTGCTGCTTTGGTACTGAAGTAGCAGAGCGGGCCTCGTTTTCCAGCTGATTGTGAGCAGCCATAGCTGTCTGAACTCATGCTCATTATTCATTGGTAACTAGCCTACACCTGACTACAGCACTCGGCTTTACCATACCTCAGATAGTTATCAAAACAAGCATTTATTCTACGTCCACGAAGAAAACATGAAAAGCTTGTTCTTAAGCCTCATTATCATCCCTATGTTATTGCTGCATTGAATGCTTCAAAACTCTGACAAATAGAACAAAAATGTCTGATAGCCACTTACAACAGCTGACCATTAATTATGTTCAGACCATCATTTAATTCAATAAATCTACTCAGAGGCATATTCGTTTAATTCTGTCATTGTCCACACTGGTTTTTGACAGAGAATCATTAAAATCCTTATTAGTGTAGGCCTACAGTACACATACTTATCACAATATCATCCACTCTGCTCAATAACAGCAAAATCTCACCATGTCTCAACACTTCATCAAATAGTTCACTGAAACATTAGTTTCTAGGAAAATATCTTGTTAAAATGCAAAAAAACATCTTATTATAACAATAAACTTTTTACGTCATTACTTGATACTGATCAGTTTTTTTTTTTCTTGGTGTGGCAGCAACATGCTTCCATAACCAAATAATGACTCAATCAAAGTTTGAGATCCCCTGACTCTGAAAATGTATAATCCAAAAACCAATACCATTATTCACCCACACAAACTGCAGTTAAAGTGTGAGAAAGCGATAGGTGAGTTTTGCCAAAAGGCATAAATCAATCACCTAAATGGCATTTATACTCAGCCAGGTCGTTGACGTTTTTATGGATTCTTAATGTCAACAATGTTAGTTGATTATTAGCTCTGACTCTGGGACTCTGCATTATTAATAGTTTGTCTCTGTGGGTCTCCAGTGTTACGGCAAGTTGTTACGTCTGCAAGGTGACTTACAGGCTGTTTTGGGGGAAGTAGACGCTGTAATATTTAACCAATTTTATCTTTCCGTCCAAATCAAATTTGAGGAAGTGAGATGACTTACCATCATTCAGGGTTAAAAAGAAAGCTGTTTTTCTAGTAGTGGAAAGTTCACTCACTCGTGTACTCTACTCAAAGGTTCTGTATGCTACATTCACTGGCTATGTAAAGATTTAGTGGAGTAATGGCGTCCTGAGCAAAGAGTAAAGTCACGCTACCTCTGTGCGCGTTGTAATCCGAGCTTCTCTGTAGTTTGTTGTGGTAAGCCGGTGCAGCGGTGTATGTTTGTGCATGTGTGTATCCCACTGGCTAGCTCTTTGCTGCCACTTTGCACTACGCTTATATAGTGGTTACTGCTGACATCATCGTCATTGCATTAATGTAGCACCCATCCTCTGGTTTCTCCCTGGTAACACTGTTAGCTCTTTCAGCGCTGTTGCCATTGTTTAGCGTTGTTTATGGCGTTAGCATCGTTAGCTGCTAGCTGCCACCTCTATGTCGAGAACCATGTGCAGACAATTCATATGCTCTGAATTTCCCATCAAGCTCCACAAAACTTCAGAAGAATGTATTTTACTTTTTACTCCTCTACGATTATTTGATAACTTTAGTCGCTTTACAAATTAAGATTTTTGCACACAAACAATTTTGATTGCTTAAATTGATTTACATTTTTTACTAGTTGGACTTACATGCTCTTACTTAAGTAATATTTTCAACACAGAACTTTAAGTTGTAATAGAGTATTTTTACAGTGTTGTATCATTACTTTTACGTAAGCACAGGATTTCCCCCACCTCTTTTGATACCTCTGTGTGTTTATTTTTTGACAGTGTTTCCCTTCCATATGACCACACCTACCAGCATATCTTTCAGTACGGCATCTACACCAGACTGAGGAGCTCGCTGCTTCCACTGTCTGTCACCTGGCACAGTGTCCCCTGGGGAATAGACACTGTGTGGGTGAGTTGAAGGGAGTAGACACACATGAGAGCACAAACACAGGCATTCAAACACAATACATTATGATCTTAAGCTAACTGGAACATTCACAGTTAGTTCTGTACTGCAGAGCACTAACCTCACTGACTGATGCCTTTTTAAAAACATGTTAAGGTGGAGGTGGAGCAGGAGCTGAGCACTGGCATGACCGGACTGTGTGGAAAACAGAACTTCCCAGGTACGTTTGAATTGATAGCAGAATCGTTTTAGTAAAAAATGGCAGTTAGCAGCATAACTTTTTGTAGGCCTTGTAGGAGCAGCAACGTATTTAAAATATTTTTTTTATTTTTTTAAATGAAATTAGGCAACAAGCAGCAGCTGATTGAGGAGAGCGTGCTCGCCAAGGACACATGTCAAATCCGAGATCCTGTTTCTGCTGTGAATACAGTAAGTCAACTGTTGCCATAACTGACTGTTCAAACACACCTGAATGAATGTTGTGACGATACTGTCTTCTGTTGGTACTGCTGCTGTATGTACTTTGGAGCACACCTGGTCTTTTTTTTCTAACAGAAATTTAGGAGAAAATGTGAGAGAAATTTAAGAGAATGTTGCTGCATGAGGCCCATGGAGACGTGAATGTCAGAATCAACAATGTTTTCATTAATTCACTTTTTGAGGAGTCAGTCTATTCAGCTGTGTTTAAACACTCCTGATTCTGAATGTTTCTCTGGTATTTGTAGGAATGCAGAATGTTCTTTTCCTACACTTTGGATTGTTTGCAAGCCATGACGCCTCATTATATCCAACTCTGTGAAGAGAACATTTACAGCTACGAAATGAGCAAAGACATCAGCTGTGCTTTCTTCAAAGAGGTTGCCCAGCACTGTGGGAACAACAGCTATGTCTGGAGGATATGGAGAGATGTAACCACATGTGGTAGGTGCTCTTTAACCCCCTTAACATCCAGCTTTTACCTTTATTTTGTCGCTTTAAGTTTCAAAAAATCATCTTTTGCACAAGTCTTCAGTGAAGTTACATCACATTTACACTGAGTTAACATGTAGGCCTCTAATCTGATTTGATTAAACAGCTGCAAACTAATGAGTTCACATCCCTCTCAGTCAACCACAAACAGCCACAGCATCAGATAGGGAGTATATATTCAGCATCTGTCATCTTAGAAAAGTCAAAAGAAAAGAAACAGAGTGAAATTGCGAGAGAGAACGAGAGAGCGCGCGCGCGAGAGAAACGCAACATTGATTTACAATTGTGGTGACCTCCTCCCAGGCTACCTTTGCATCATCAGCCCGTGGAGGTCTGCTCGCAGTTCCGTATATTCGGACACTGCGAGCTTGGACCTCACAGACCAAAACATCAGTTTCCTCCTGGGAGAAGTTTGGCCATCTGACGCTGCTGCTCTCTCTGCCATGGCGAATTGAGTAAACTCTCATTACGCCTTCGCGCAGCACATTTAAGGGTGAGGTGAGGGGCTCATTTGATTGGTGTGATGTGAATTGGCTGTTTAAACCCCACTCCACGCCTTCTCTCCTCCCTCTTTCTGACTTGCGCAGGTAGGAGGGATGGAGGTGGGAAAGAGGAGTAGCTATGCCAGCGCACACGGTGTGCCAAACTTGCAAAATCTGCCTGGCCACACCCAGTTGGCGAAGCGCAGGTGCGCTGCGCCCCCGCCTCGCCCGGTCTGCGAAACTAGAGGCCGTAGTCTTTCATACATATCATATTAACATTTGATATGATACGTATCATATCGTCATATCACGTGACATAGTATGTGAGCTGACTTTTGTTATTTTAAGGTAGAGGGAAAGATGGATGGTGTGTCTCCTAGGTGAGACACCTGCCAAGCTGCAGAACACTGTTTAAAACTAACACTGCTGTGTTTCCAGCAGCCTTTTAGGCACCAAATTTGGGTCACTTGTAGTAACCTATCAGTGTTTCTCCTGCTGGGATGTTGGCATAAAAAATAGTTGCTCTGCTACATAATAACATGCAAATATAATGTATCTGTGGTTTGCAGAAATGTACAATGCCGACATTTTTTCTGGTGGTTGGGTTGAAATGAAAGATTAGATGTTTTTATGGCTGTACAGTGTCATCAAATTTAAATAATCTCAATGTTTTGTGCCATCTTGTACACATTTCCCCAAAATTCAGCCTGACATAATTTGGTATTCCAGACTTTGGGATTCACACTAGCACTGAGAATAAAGTTCTGTGATTTTGAGCAAAGTTTTGCTGTGTTTGCCACGTGTTTGTGCTGACAGGGGTTTACAAGATTAGATTATAAATTCGTTTTAAAGTTTCAAATTGGCTCAAATTCAACTTTAGACACTAATTTGATGA